AAAAAAAAAAAAAAAAAAAAAAAAAAAAAAAAAAAAAAAAAAAAAGAGGCAATTACATTGCCAGCCCCAGACTGTGAAGGAGGTTAAGTGTGCCTGATTTCCCATTTGATATACTCCTTCGATCCACTGCCAGCCTCAGTATTCCCATAATTTTCTACTCCCCCTCCATAAAACCCCCCATTCTAAGCCTTCATTCACACTATGGTATAAATGGCTGATAACAGCTTGAGAATACTCCTACATCAGGTTTGCTCTTTCACGGGGTTCCAAAGGAGGAAGATAATTCTAAAGGTGAACTTTCCAGCCATGGCCAAAAGATAATGGAGGATTTTTCTTCTCCTTTCTTTTTTTTTTTTCTTTTTAAGGCATCAAGCACACCACTTGGGCCCTCAGCTACTCCACCTCTCTCTAAGGCAAGCCCTGACTCCCTCATGCCCATTTGCTCCCCAGCCCTCACTTCGAAGTTTCCTCTGCCACTCCATCTCATTGTGCAAGAAGGAGGACTGGTCAAAGAAGTCGCTGACTTTGCTGCCCTGCTCGTCCTGCTCCGTGGTGGTGAAGAGCCGATGCTTGGTCTCCTCGGTCAGAAATTCACAGATGCTGGGCACTGGGAACACAATCTGCTCCATGCTCCTGTCCTGTCGAACAATCTGGGCAGGAACACAGGCCATGTTGGAGGTGGGGGAGGGGGGCAGGGGAGAGGGAGAAACACACACACACACACACACACACACACACACTCACACACACAACACACCATGGCCACAAACACTGAGTCACACACTTGCTGAATCACACGCTGACTGAGAGACATGCTCGTCGGATGCTGAATTATACACTTGTGCTCATATACACATGCTAAATCAGAGTGACACACGTGTGTGCAGGCATGAGTCACACAACCTCACATGCACATGCAGCACCCCTCACACCCTTCCACTTCCACAAGAATCCCAAGAAGCCAGCTTTGATGGCTCTGCTGCCCCGCACCGATGCCACTGACCAGAGGGTGACCACTGTTGGGGAGGCCGTGAGCCCTGGCTCTGGAGTCAGGGAACCTGGGTTCAAATCTCACCTCTGATGCTTATTACCTGTATGACCTTAGGCAAGTCACTGAACTTCCCTGGGACCTCAGTTTCCTCATCTGTAAAATGAGGCAGGTGGGCTAGATGGGCTCTGAGGTCCCTTCCAGCTGTATTTCTGTCATCTTTCCATCTCTGTGATTCCCCCCACACACACTCCTGGCCCCTCTCCCTCCCCAAGGAAGGTCTCCCACCTCAATCTGGGATGTGTGGTTCTCATAGTAGGCCAGAGGGTCTTCTTCCTCTGCCTGCACGGGCACCGACGACTTCAGCATTTGTGACAACTGCTTGTTGTTAAGGCTGAGCTGTGGAGTGATTGCCAGGGGTCAGGGATAGGGGAAGGACCCCTAACTTAACTAAACTAAACCCCACCTCGAACCCTGAGCCAAGCTTACCATTCCAATCCTAAGGCCCCAAGCCCAGCCCAGATCCTAACCTAGGCTCCAGCCCTTGGGGTTTGCAGTAGAAAGAGTCTCCAAAGAGGAGAAAGGAGAGAAAAGAGAAAGGATGGGAGAGAAGAGAGAGGATAAGGGAGAGAAAGGAGAGGGAGGTAAGGGAAATGAGAAACAAGGAGAGGAAAGAGGAGACAGAGAAGGGGAGGGGGAGGGAAAGAGGCAGAAGGAGAAGAAAAGAGTGGGAGAGGAGGATAAAGGAGAGATATGGAAAAGATAAGGAACAGAAGAAAAGAGAAAGGAAAGGAAGGAGGGAAAAAGAGATGAAGAAACGGGACAAATGGAAAAGGGAAAGACAAGAGACAGAGGGAGAAAGGAAGTTAAAGTGGGTAGTTGGTGAGTCCCAGAGACAGGATCAAGGCTGGGGGGAGTCAAAGTTGGTTCCTTCTCCCTCTGGCAGTGGTGGGGTTGAGGTCCTACCATGGAAGAGATGCCTTCTTCCTCCTCCTCCTGGATGCGTTTCACTGGCTTCAGCAGGTGCTGAAGTTGCTTGTTGTGTCTAGACAGCTAAGGGCAGAGAGGGTCTGAGGTCATCCAATCAAAATCAACCATGATTTCTAGCCTTTTTCTTTCCCCTGAGATCCATGGCCCATGGGAGAGAGAAAAGTGATGGCTGACGACAGTACCTGCAGGGCCAGGATATAGATGTTGTGGCCAACCTCTCGAGGAGAGACCTCGGAGTTCTCACGCTCCTCCTCCTGCAGGTAGGCTTTCTTGATGACATCCACCTGGGAAGCCAGCATCTGCTCTTAGCCTCCTCCCAACCCCATCTGTTCCCCACATTCTCCAAACCCTTCTCCCCGACCCCCTCCAACACTTCCACATCCTCAGTTTTCAGCCTATCCCAGGTGAGAGAATGGTAGCAGAGAAAGGAGGCCTTGAACCCCTTGACCCCCACCGGAGCGGCTCCACTAAGCCCAGGTAGTGGGGCTCCCCACCACCCCTGATCCCACTACCTGGCCGTCTGCCTCACCAGTTCCTGGGGCCGCAGGCTAATGAGAATCCTCTCTGCATTCTCGCTGTCGTGCCGGCTCTCCATCAGGGCCAGAAGGAGCTTGGAGGCATTGTCCTACAGGGCAGACAGGAGGCTGAAGAAGCTGCCAGGCATGGTTTCCCAAGATTTAACCCCACCTACTTCCTTCTGCCTTGGGAAGAAATCGTCCCACACTCACACAGGCCCGGGGCTGGGTAAATGGGACAAAGGCTGCAGCTGACCTCTTAGACTGATGAGGGAGATCTAAGGGGGGGAATTCCTGAGGTCATTAACTTCCCATTTCACTGCTCTGTCATTCTTGTGGCATCATATGCTGAACTTGGAGATGGGAAAACCTGGATTCAAATCCCAGTTCTGATGCCCATTCTTGGGCAATGTGGGAGTTTTGCTTGACTATGTATATTTATAACAAAGGTTCTCTTTTTCCTTTTCTTGTCCCATTGGTGACAGCAGGAGGAAGGAGGGAGAGAAAATGTGTTTGTTAATTGAAAGTATTTTTTAATTTAAAAAAAATCCCAACTCTGACATTTAACTAGGTATGTGAGCCAAGCCAAGACATATAACGTCTTTGAGCCTCAGTTACCTCATGCGCAAAATGGGGATAAGGATACTTGTTCATCTACCTCACAGAGAGTTTGTGAGGAAAGTTCTCTGTAGACCTTAAAGAATCCCCTAAATATGAATGATTCTTATTACTTTTGGAAATAATCAGCTTGATTCTGTATCAGTTTTAATTGAATCTATTTACTAAATAAACTCTATTTATTGAATTCTATTTAATTGATTTTGTCCCGTAACTGCCTAAGCCATGGTTCTTTGTCTCTGAACTTAGTTCAGAATTCAGCTGGTCTCCATTGAGTTAAGTTTAGAAATCCAGTTCTCTTGTTAATCACTATTCTATTCTTACATCAAGGATGTCCAGTTTGTTATCCAAACTCATCTGGTCCACTATTTCTGACCTTGCAAGTGGACTCAATGAACATTTCCTAGTTGCAGGAGGGAAGGAGGGGGTTGTCGCTAACTCCTCGTTCCCAATCCCAATCATGTTGTCCCC